TCTGCCTTGCGTTAAGTACAAAGTCCAATGTCCTGGCATGGAGGAGGAGCAGTTTCCTCTCTGACAACACTCACCCAGCTCTTTTCCCCAGCAGCTTCCTGAGTCTTTCCAAATTCACATCCCTGGATGGTGCCTCTGCATGAAGCGCATCCCAGCCTGGACAGTGCCCCTCCAACCCACCCATTCCCAACGCTCACAGCTCGTGGCTCAGCTGGCACACACGCTGTGCCTTGCTTTTGGGGGGCTGCTGCTCACTTTGCCATGAGAGGATTTATGACTCGTTGCTTTCACCGGAGGCTGGGTTGGTGCCAGGAGTTTTCACTGGGTTTTACGTTGCCATACAAGGCACGGTGGGGTTTCAGGATGGAGGATTGATGTGCTGCTTGATGGCAGAGGGAGGGATGGGCCTGTGGCTGGGGACTGGCTGAGAGAGGCACAGCTTTTAGAGGGTTATGCAAACACTGGTTGAACTCCTCTTTCCTACAGTGTCTCCTGCTCTTTGGCCCAGCATCTCTGCCAAGAACAGGATGCTCTTGCTGTTTCCCCTTTCCACCATGAGCCTCAGCCACCCCATAGAGGTCTCTGTCATGCCACACACAGAGAGACAGGCTCTGGACCACTGCCCCTTTCATCACTGAATATATTTTGTGGTGACATAGTGACAAATGTGCACACTCAGAACAGCGTGAGCCCAAAAGGACCCCATGTGTTGGGTAGTACCTGGATCGGGAGGGCTGAGAGGAGAGCAACCCTGACCATGTGCTTCCAGGTAAAGACAAAACACAGATCATCATAGATCATAGAATGGTTTGGGTTGGAAAGGACCTTAAGATCATCCAGGTTCCACTCCCCCTGCCATTGGCAGGGACACCTTCTGCTAGACCATGCTTTTGGGAGCACTGTGGGCAGCACCACACATCACACAGAGGATGCTGTATGAAGAAAGCATCTCTCTATGCTGCAGGACCTGCTTAGGTTCCTCTCATCCCATTCCCTATCACCCTCCACAATTCCCAGCAGTGAGTCTGTCCTGCCCCAAAGCTCATGAGCCGTTCCACAGGCAAACAGCGAACAAAGGGTTAACTCCTTGCACCTATATCCATCTGGGAAACCATATTCCCACTTGGAAATAACTTGGAAGAAACCACCTTCTCCTGTTTGAAGACCCACTCCAAGCCCAGCTGGCTCCAGCACCCCTGTGCCGGGAGGGGACTCCCAAGAAGCTGGCTTCCATCCCTTTCCCAGCATGTTGTGTGCATCCCGCTCTTCCCATCAGGCTCGCCAAACGCCGGCGGACGGACGGCGTGGCAGCCAGCAGGGAGCCTGCTCGGCTCGTGTGCCGCCGGCTTCCAGCAATTCCTTCCTGCTTCCCGAGGTCCGTTTCGCTACGGCACTTCCATACGGTGTGCCTGGCCGGCAGCCCGATCCCCTTCCCAGCCACCGGGTTTTTCCACGCTGGGCTTTACAAACTACCTCTGCGCCGAGTCCTGGGAATCGTGGCCTCTGCGGGAAGGAATTTGCTGGCCAGCGGGTTGGGCTGAGCTGTGCGACCCTGTTCCTGTTAGCTGGGACTTTATCTTGGAGGCAGCATCCAGAAGGATTTGGAAATTCCCTCTCGTTGGCTCCCCGTGATGCCTTTGGTCCATGTATGTACCCAAGGAGCCTTCATCCCTGAGCCACCCGGGGAGCAGACCCTGCCATCTGGTTAAACAGGATAGAGCTAGGGGCATTTGCAGAGCTGAAGGAGAGCCTGAGCTTGAGGGGTCAGGAGAGAGAATCTCTTGGCATTACATGGTTAGACGACAGGAAGCAGCGGTGCTGGAAGCCAGGGAAGTAATCTGTAGGTGAACTCCAGGCTCTGGTGCTGGGTTGCAGGGTGCAAACATAAGAAGCATTTGGGATGGAGGCTCCAGTAAGTCCCTACAAGCTGCCATGGTGGTTTCAGTGCCTGGGAAAGTCTCACCAGCAAGGCAGTTTGGTGTCATTTGCTACGGACCCACTGGTTTTGCACATTGGGTGTGCAGGGACACTGTAATGTCTGCCGAGAACACCCTCTCCTCTTCCTACAGTCCATATGTCTCTCCGTCACACAGGGATGCACAGAAGGCTGGAGCTGGGGATAGATGCTGCCTGGGCATGGGGATAGATGGAGGCATTACTGCATGAAGCAAAAGCTTTGTATGTCATCAGACACAGACCCTGGGGCTAAAAAGGGGTTCCCTGTATCTGAGACACTGCAGAGGAGCACCATGCCTGGCTATGTTCCCTTCCTGTGTCTGTCTCCATCCCACTCCTCTGAGCTCCAGGGAAAGTCTGGTGGCTGCAGGACCCCAAGCAGGTGAGAAATGGGATTATGTGGGTACATGCATTAAACTGTTCCTGTCCAGAGTGGCTGCTGGAGGCTGCTGTGATGGAAAGCACTAAAAAGCCTTGCCTCCAGCCCCCAGCAGCACCTCTGTATCCCAGAAACCGGGTCTGCGCTGCCATCCATCTGCAAACAGGGATGCTTAACCCGCTCTCACTGCTTGCTCCCCTCTCTGAGGGGACAGAGTCAGGAGTGAACAGGGAGCTCTGAGGGAAGGGGGGAAAGGAGGGGAGGTGGGTTACAGACCCTCAGGATGTTCTCCATGGGTCCCTGCTGCTCAGGCATGCAGGTGCATCTGCATTGCTCAGCCAGAGCAGCAGCCAAGTACCCCTGCCATTAGTTCAGCCCCTCCTGGGTCCTCTCCGATCCACCTTCCCTGGAAGGAATGGAGTAAGGGTCTGTTCAGCCATCAGCTTTCCTCAGGGTTCGCGATCGCAGCAACCGGAGAGCTGCCAAAGAGTGATGCCTGTGAAGGGAACACGTGCCCTGACCCTACTTAGCAGCTCAGACCGTGCTTAGGGTTGGCCTCTGGCCAGAGGATGCTGCTGCGGTGTCTTGAAAACACTCAGAAAGCCAGGGACTTTCCAGGGCTGGGAACAGGCAAGGAAGGAGTCTGGGATCGCTCCTGAGCATCTCTGGGAGCAGATGGACCCTGAGGCTGCACTGGTGTGTGCTGGGGACAACCTACACATGTGTCCTCTCCATCCGCATCAATTGTCTTGGTACCACATAAGCTCTGGGAAGACTTGATGGGGACCAGTGCTCCCCCAGCTTCTCCAGACTATTCCATCAGTGCCAGAGGTGGAGGGTCATCCAGGTGCCCAGCACTGCGACCTGGGGAGGTTGCACAGGAAAGGGCTGGACAGGCATTAAGTGCCAGCATGGGTCTTCTTTTCCCTCCCCATCCTGATGCCATCGGTGCTTTGGGGTTGGAGAGATGGGCAACAGCACCAGGATACCTCCAGGACCAGTTCCTGTGCTGCCAGGCACCCTAGGGAGATGCACCCAATACTGCCTGTGGTCTATGCCTGTCCACATGCCCCAGGGGCTGCTGCCTGCAGCCACACCACCCTCGGTGCTGCCTCCCCTGACATGGGCACAGGGGTACCCCCAGCATGGAGCTCCCTTTCTCTTCCTCACAAGTGTGCACCCAACTTGTCCCCAGGGAAGGCAGCAATGACTTCAGCATTGCCCCCTACTTGCTAAGGGACGCAAGAGCATGGGCATCTTATCACAGCCCTGCTCCCTACTCGCTGGGACTTTGCTCTCCTCCTGGGTTACTCATTGCCCTTGGTAACTGTTTATGAGGGTCCATATCAGGAACCGGTGAGAAGTCCTGGGGCTGCAACCCCAGTCCTTGGGCCTGGGAAGGGGGCTTGGCCCCCACGAGCATTGGGTAGACCCTATTGGGGCTCTGCGTCCTACTGGGGGTCCCAGTACACGGCTGAGACAGGCAGCAGGACCGGGGCTGGTCAAAGAGGATGAAGAGGGGGATGATAGTGGTGGGGTGGTGGAATTGGGGATGGAATGGCAAAGGGGCTCCTCTCAAGGGGGCTGGAGAGATGCCAGGATCTGGTTCTTCTCAGAGAGGCCCTGGGGTAGGGCGAGAGACAGCGGCACCGGATGCATCAAAGGATCCTCCCCTTAAACAGTGGAAAAAATGTTTTAAACATGAGAGCATCGCAAGCACTGGATGGAACAGGTTGTCCATAGCAGTTGTGAAGCCTCCACCCTCTGTGTCTTCCAGACCATGCCATGAATGTCTCTAGCCATCTCCCCCTCAGAGCAGGACCAGTGCTCCAGTGTTTAAACTGGGTTGCTCAGGACATGGTCCAGCCATGTGCCATCTCTTTCAGTGGCCTTGCCCCCCACAGGAGTGCTCTGTGGGGTCCTGTTCAGCTCCCCTGGTCTACTTCTGCATAGCCCCTACTTTGCCAGCCATGCCCAACACATCCATCTGCACAGGGTCACTCCATCGTGCCTGTGCTGGGAGTTTTCATCTTGTCTGTGTTAAACCTCAGGAGTCAGCCCATTCCTGCTCAGCATAGCCACCCGTCTTCAGCTCCCCAGTATCGGGTGATAGCACCAACGTACAGTGTTCTGTGCTATCTCCCCCAGCCCCATGTGCAGTCTGTCCCTTGCACATCCCAGCCCTACAGATGTGTTCAGCTACCTGGGGAGGTTCCAGGCAGCCAGACAGGGATGGATGGAGGGGGGGCTGTGATATGGGGTCACCCTGAACCCCTTCTCACCAAAGCATGAGGTGAGGGTTCAAAACCGGTTGGCTCCTTGGTGTCCCGAATGGCTTGGCCGCTCTCCAGGGTTCCTGCCCTGGGAACAAACAGGTAAACACCAGCACCCATCCCTCCGAGCGCAGGTAGGGGCAGGTTGAGAGACCGGGTAGGAGAAACAGGAGCCTCCAAACCCATCTAACCGTGGTGGGGGCCGCATCTCCGGTGTGCCCCCAGCCTGGTACCCCGGGCCCTGATGGGCAGCTGGGAACAAGACAGGACGCATCCAAAAACGAGGGGGGGGGGGGCACTTGTGGCTTACAGGAATCCCCCACCCTCCCTCTTCTCCATCACCCATCCCTCGGCCAGCTGGTGGGCTGCCTGCCAGGCTGGCCGAAAATGAAAGCAGAGCGTCCGAGATAAATAGGAGCAGCCCCGGCACTAGGCAGCAGTGCGCGTCCTGCTCTCCTTCCTTGCACTGCTCAGCACTCGACATGGCTCTGCGCCTCCTCCTCCTGCCGCTGCTTCTGCTGACTGCAACCATCCTCATCACCCAGGCTCAAGGTAAGAGGCACCAAGCCCTGGGGATGCGGGTGCTCACAGTGCGTGCGCCCACGTTTGAGGGTGTGCGTGGCTGCGGGTGTGTGGTTTGTGGTGGAGGGTGTGTGTATGTGTAATGGTGCATGATATGGGTGTGTGCATGTGGCTGGTGGGGCAACAGCACCCCATGATGCAAAGCACAGGCAGGAGAATAAGGTTTGGTCCCTCTGTCATCTCTGCCTCAGTTTCCCCTCTGCCAGCACTGAAATGGGCATCACGTATTCAAGCGGTAGGGTCCAACCTGCAACGGGGCACTGGGGTTGAGGGCTCCCACCCTCACATGCTGCTAGAGCATCTCCCCCATGAATGACACCAATAAAGTCACCTTGTGCCACAACCCGGCTTCACTGTGCTCCTTTGGGGGGGGCTGGTGGTGGGAAGATGCCCTGGCTTTGTAAGGGTCCAAAATCCCACACTCCCACCTTACTCCCAGGCATTGGCAACTTGGGCATGGACTGCTGCTTGAAGTACAGCCAGAAACCCATCTCTGGCAACCGGGTGACTTCCTACACCCTTCAAGAACCTGAGTCGGGGTGTCTGCTGCGTGCTGTTGTGTGAGTACCCTGCTACGGTTGGGACCATCCGAAGCAGTTTGGCTCCAGCCAAACCCTCCTGCTCCGTGTCCTCCCCCTGCCCACCCCCAGCAAACCTTCCTGCCCGTGCCCCCAGGTTTACCACCAAGAAGAACAAGAAGATCTGTGCCTCTCCCACTGACCCTGCTGTCCAGAAACTGATGCAGAACCTGGACAAGAGGGTCAGGAAGGACAAGAAGGGACAGCCCCCACGTTACCGGGGCAGACCCAAGCATCAGAAGCAGCAGCAGGTCTAAATCAGGCCTGAAAAGGTAGGTGAGGAGCGGTGGGGACATCGGGGTGATGGGTTGAGGGTGCTGCCCTCCATCCCGGATCCATCCCCATGGGAAGGAGGGCATCCTGTGGCCAGAGCCATGGTTGTGCTTGCCTTAAAATCTTGTTTCTTTCTGGAGCTGCTGGGACAAGGGCAATGCTTGGGGACAGGTGAGGCACACCATGCAAGGCAATGGGCCCATGGCTGGCGTGGGTGCTCTCATTGAGACCCTCTCTTTGTCTTCCTTAGGACGGATGCCTTCCCTACCAATGACCGACCTGGCAATGGACATCTACGGACCATCCACTCTCATGCTGGCCCTGGGGCAAGGATGGGGCTGGCCAAGGGGGCTGCTCTCTTCTCTTCTCTGCAGCCCCCTTGGCACTGCCAAGCCTGCCCCAGAGGTTGGCAGCAAGGGGCACCCAGGTCCCCGCTCGCCCCATGGCCATGCAAGCGGGGACCTGGACCCATGTGGGAGCTGAGCCATAGCCTCAAGGGGGAATGGGGCAGCCTTCCCACCAGAGGGGATTTCTATAGCCTGACAGGATGGCAGCTTTTCCTGTGACTTTTTAGGGGTGTTTTTTATACTTTTCTATTTATATTTTAAAGACTGTGCTTTCATTCAGTCTTCCTGGAAAGCTCTACTTCTGGCTCTTTGTGCTTCATGGGGTACCCTTTCTGCTGCTATCTGGCTTTTACTGGAAAATTGCTCTTATTTTTCTACCAAATAAATGATCGATGCTGCTAATTTCCCTCTTACCTGTTTGCTCCTTTTCGGCTTGCAGGGCTGTGGGGTGCCGGCCGGTCCCACGTCCCCATGGTCCTGCCTGGGCAGCTTGCTGGGGTCTTCCTTGCAGGGCAGTTAATAGCAGATGAGATGGAGAATGTGGGGACAATGGGGGTGACTGTGGCTGTACATCAAGGCTGTTGCAGGCTTTCCCTGCTGGCTTTTATAGCGCGCTGTTGCAGTGTAGTTTGGAGCACAACAGGATTTGTCCCTTTGATTTTTATTAAGTCTTTCTAGGCACAAAATTGCCATGAAATCATAGCCAATTATTCACTTTAGTGGCATTTTACCCTTTTACCTCCCTTGGTTTTGCTGCTGTCAGAGTCAGACATTATTAAGCCAAATACTTGTTTTTTTAATGGTGTGGGGGGAGGCGGGGAAGAGAACCAGAAAAACAACTCTCATATACTTTCTCCCCAACTCTGAAAAGCCCACATAGTGAAAACTGCATGCTGTGCAGATGGAATAGAAGACTTTGCAAAATTCATGGTTACAGCCATTTGAGAGTAGCTCTATCCCAGAGCTTTAGTGAAATGGGAACTCACTAACCCGATGACACCACAGGGTGACACTGCGAGTAGAAGTGGGGGACAAACACCCGGGATGGGGCTGGTTGTGAATGGCATCTCCCAGTGCTTGCAAACCCCCATCCAGCGTGCTGAGATGGAATGAGGTGAAGGTCTGCACGGCAGCTGCAGTGCTATCTGCTTGCAGAGACGTGGACTTTGGTCAGTAGAGGTCTATTAAGTCCTAAATTGCAATAATAGGATTTGCAGAGCTTAACAGTATCAGCAAAATCTGTGTGTTGGCTGGTGTAAAGCTTGCGGCCGTGTGTTTCTATCCAGCACATTTATCTGGCTTGATTGCTTTATTAGGCAGGCGTTTACATTTATTATTGTAAGGCTGTGCAAAGAAACTGTGAAGTCCAAGATACCGGCCCTGTGTATGGGATGGGAGCTGAGTTGTCTCTGTGCTGCCCGCTCCTCCATGTGGGAGCAGGTGGCCGAGTGCCAGATGGGATTTTGGACAGGATGTAAGGCAATAAAACATATCATTTACAACCAAACTCACTCGTTCTGGCTGTTGCGATGGAGTTTGGTGCGGAGGGAAGGGTTGCATGGGGGGCTGCCCTATGCACCATCATCCCCCCGGGTCCTGGTTTCTGTATCCTTAAGTGTGCTGTGTTCTTGGGGTGCAGTGCTGGCACAGGGATGTGCAAATCCCATCTCATGCACACAGCAAGGTGAACTCATCCTGTTTGCTCAGCCATCCCCACTGTGGGGTGCCTGAAAACACCCCAGAGATGGAGGGAGGAGTGGGGGGCGGTGGGCACACGATGGTTTTGTGCATGGCATCTGCTCACAGTAGAAGCTGTTCCTCCGACTCTGACCTTCCCTGCTCCATGCTTCCAGATGCTTTGGAAAGACAGCATTAAACCAAGTTATTAATGAGGCTGTGCTCTTGGCCAGGCTTTGCTGGGAGCCTCTGAACTGACTCCGGCAGGGTGGGAGGCAGCCCTGCACTGTCCAGGGATGCGCTGCATCCAACCCTGCGAGGCTGGCCCCATCGTCCTTCTGCATCCTGTAGGATGCGTTGTTGGGCTGCTGCAGGGTCAGGACGTTGGGGAGTGATTGCAAAACACCCCTGGAAATGAGGCACAGCAGAGTCGGTCTGCAACCACAAACAGCAAAGCAGGAGCAGATGGCAGGAATGAGCCAGTGTGTGAGATGTATCCTGGTGTCTCTGCGGCTGCAAATGTAAACAAAGGTGGGTTTTTCCCTCTTCAATTCCTAAGTGGGCATTAGGCTAAAACTGGTTAAAAATGCCCATGGGGGTGCTCTGACTTACCCTAAGCTTTATCCTTGAAGCAGGGTTTGTGGGGGAGCGCCAGAGTTTATGTTATTCTCAGGAAGGCACGTATAAGCATGGACATGCATGGGCGTTTGCACATCACTTCCAGCTTTACTGCAGAATGCTGCATTTAGGGAAAACAAGGTGTCAGGGCTAGTGGGAGCCTCTTGCTGGTGAGGCAGATGGCTGCAGTGCTACTGCCATGGTGAGACGGCACCAGGGAAACACTTCAGGGGAGATTTCCTTGGAGAGGCTGAAGGAAGAGGTGATGGGTGAGAATCTGGAGCGTGCAGCACAGGCCCAAACCCATCCATTCCCTAAAGAGGAGCTGCATCCACAGACCACAGATGAGACAAGCAACATAAAGAAGATGCTCTGAGATGATGCCGCAGTGAAGCAGCAGAGGAGGATTCACACCTTAGAGGATTCCCAAACCTGCTGCTTCACCCCATGTGCAAAGATACGGCAGTGTTGATGCAGTGGGTGCTGGGACAGAGGATGTACAGCCCCTGTAGACTGTATATACAGCCCCCATAGACAGGGAAGGCAAGCAGAGCAAAAGGCTAGGAGAGCTCTGCCACCCTGGAGCAGAAAGGCTTCAGCAACAGCAGAAAGTATCCAGGCAAGACAGAACCCACCGAGTGCAGCCAGGAACAGGGGAGTCTGTGATTCTAAGCCTTGAACCCATGCCAAATGATAGCTCAAGTTGTTGGCTTGTGCTGGCAGCGGAGCATGTTGAGCTGCAACGCTGGGCTGAGCTCCATCACATCTCACCTGCAGACATGGCACTGGCTCCATCCCGCTGCCCTGTGCCGTTCCTAAGGAGCAGGAGCTGGTGAAGCTGGAACACTGGGGCTGTGCATCACAACACTGGGGCTGTGTGGTTGACAGAGGAGCTGCGGCTTCCCCCTGAAGCTTCGAGGTGGGTTTTGGTGCTCCCTCCGCTTGGGGTCTGTCATGGTCTTGAGAGCAGAGAGGAGGTAGAGAAGTGGCAGGTGGGCAATAGGGGCTCCCACCCTTCCTGCCCCAAGGTGTTTCCCAGCCCTGGCTATCCTTGGCACCCATCCTGACCTAGGAGTCCCCAGCACAGAGCACCTATCAACCCCACATAGCTCTTAAGCGCCTCTTTCCCCATCCTCTGTCCTGCTGGCTGGAGACCCTTGGCTTTGGGGGTGAAGAGCAGTCCCCAAGGGTTTTGATCCATCCTGTGTGCTGTTAGATCTGCCTACGGGTGAGTTCGGCGTGCAGGCTCACCAGGCATCCTCCCTGCCACATCACAGCGGAGATGGCAAGGAAATTGCTGATGGTTTGCTTGCTGCACAGGTCTCCAGCTCCTCAAACCCATGAGTGGTTGCAGAGAGGAGGACAGGCAGTGTAACAGCAGGGAGACAGGGCTGGTAGCATCCCACCTGGACACTGCTGACTTGGTGCCATCACAGCACATCCTGTGTGGGCATTTGCAGGAAGCACTTGGCTGGGAAATTATGCATCCCAAAAACGATGCTGAGAGACACGTGCATTGCGGGGAGATGGATTCTCACCTCAGGAGGTCAAATGGGATCCAGCTGAAAGGTCTTGGCTCTGCTGCCCACCACTGATGGTGACCTCAACAGCAGTGACATTGAAGTCAATGAGTGCTAGGGACAGATGGGCTCTAACAGAGCGGGAATTGGCACCTTCTGCATCCAGATACTCAGGGCCATCTTTGCTCCATCTGGGCAAAGGCATGATTTGCTTTGTTTTTTTAACCCTTAGCTCCATTTAAATCAGATTGACTGGGTTCTCTCAGCTATTGCAGAGCCAGTAGAGGCCTCAGATCCCATGGGCTTCTGGTGGCTCCAATCCCGGTGCTGCAACAGAACTGGAATTGCAATGGGAGCCTTGCAGGGGACTCCCTCATGCTGGGAGCTGCAAGGGAAATTGAACAGACACGATGCCTGCCCAGTATTTCCCAACGAGGTGGATGCAGCCAGGCCAGATGCTGCCCCAGGGAATGGCTGTGTCTGGAAGCTGCCGAAATTCCCCCTTTGCCTTTTCCAGCTCTGTAGCTCAGAGGTGGGAAGCAGAGCACTGCAAGGCACCCCATGGAGCATGCTGGAGCCTACAGACCAGCTGGAAGCTGCTGCATTGGTGGCAAGTGTCCCTGAGTGTGGCAGCACGCCGGTGCTCAATGAGGAGAGCCTAGAGGTGATGCTCATATGGCCCATTTACATTTTGAAGGGTTCAGTTTCCCATGGGGACTCACTCCCTCATGCACTCCCCCTCGTTTCCACTTTAATTAATAACTGCATTACCAAGGCTTTTGCAGGGTGAGCGCTCAGGAATGATTTGCGCTGCCTGTGGTACCCTCAGGGCTGCAACTCCAGCCTTCCCAAATTGCTCTGCATGAGGCTTAAATGGGTCAGTGCGCAAAATGCTCTCCCCTTTTCCCAAATTGCACCAGATTCCCTGACCATTCCCTGCCTGCGTGTGCCTCTGAAGAGCCTGGATCCCGAAACATCCCTTGTTCCTCTGCTCTGTTCCCCAGGCTCAGCCCTGTGAAGGGGATGGGGCAACCTCCCTGCACGCCCTAGGGATGCACTTCAGAGATGACCACTCTCTTCTTAGAAATCCCACTGACCCCAGTGGAGGGGGAAACCCGCCACATTCCCCTTTCACAATGCGAGCGGAAAGCCCCATTCCTCACTCTCCCGTGCCTTTCCTGGGTAGCAAAGTTTATGGGAAGATCCATGCTTTCACCCACTCGGCACCCAGATGGCTGCCGGGAGGAGGCAGACCCTCTTTGCTGCCCGCGTGGTGGCAGGGTCTATCCCCAGGATGTATTCCCAACACTGGATGTGCTCCTTTCCCTGTGCAGCCAGATGGGAATCAGAAGCGAATGGGAGCCCCCTGTGCCAGGAGGGCGGCTGGGGACCAGCACCCCACATGGCAGACCCCCAGCACCCCTTCCCAGCCCTTGGGCATGCTCTGGTAGCTGCCAAACTCACTGAACATGGAGCAGGTGAGGTCTGCTGATGGGCAGCAACCCCAGCACCCATTGCCAGTGGGTCAGGGCTCTGCTTTTGGGACTCCCTCTTTGCCGCTGGGGAGGAGTGGGATGTGGTTTAGAACACGTTGCTCCTAGAGGTCTGGCCACCAGCAGCCAGGAGCTGTGATTCTCCCTGCTATGGCATCACTCGGACAGCACCACAGGGAGATCAAATGCAGACCAGCCCCTGAGCTACCCTGCATCCTCAAACCCACAGGAAGACCGGGGATGATGACTGATGCTAATCCTCCTCCACCTAAATTCCCCTTCTGCCAGCCAAGATTTCTCTCTAATAGCTTGTGAGAGCTCTAAGAAGGCAGGTGCTGATTGAAGTTAATCTGGCACATCCTGTTTGTGCAGCTCATTCTGCCTAACCCCTGCAGCACAGCCCCGGCTTGCCAGGGCACAGCAACAGCCGGAGGTGATGCTTTCCTGATGGAGGAGACCATTCCTTGCACGAGGCTGGTGTCAGTGCAGGGATGGAGGACTGGGGACAGTGGTACCAGTCCCTGGGTAAAGCCAAAGGGTGAGTCTCCTCTTGCTTCTCACAGTGCAGTGGGGAAGGGGCAGAGCTGCTGCCACCTGAGAGGAGCAGAGGTCCCCACTGAGGTCACCTGTGTCTTGTCCCCAGGTAGATATTTGTCCCTGTGGAATGGCTGTGCAGTGCTTTCCACTGAGATGCCAGGACAGGCCAGATCTGGAGCAAGGGGAGGGTGAAGGGATGTAGATGCTGCTCTAGGAATTCTTCTCCCTTGTGGGGAAACATTTTCCTATTATCAGTGGGAATTTCTATGGGTGCAACTGGTGCTGTCCCTGAGTCTCTCCAAGAAAAGCCTGTCTCTGCCACCTCTCCAAACCCCTTTGAGGCACCTCTCCAAACCCCTTTGAGGCATCTATGCAAACCCCTTTGAGGCACCTATACAAACCCCTTTGAGGCACCTATACAAACCCCTTTGAGGCACCTATACAAACCCCTTTGAGGCACCTATACAAACCCCTTTGAGGCACCTATACAAACCCCTTTGAGGCAGCTGCTGAAGGCAGTGAGACCCCCTTCACTATTTCTTCTCCAGGCTGCACAAACCCATTACTCTCAGCATCCCACAGTGATACGTATCAGGGCTGAAGCAGGCTGGTTAAGGAGCATCACTGCAGGTGACACTGGCAGGTTATGAGTCACCATCCCC